AGGAGGAACTTCCTGACAGTGAGAGCTGTTTGACAGTGGAACACAGTCTCTCGGAGTATGGTGGAGTCTCCTTCTTTGGAGATCCTTAAACAGAGGCTGGATGGCCATCTGTCAGGGATGGTTTGATTTTGAGTTCCTGCATGGCAGGGGGTTGGATTGGATGGCCCTTGTGGTCTCTTCCAACTCTATGATTCTATGAAATAACTGCAGGAAGAGGACTGTGAAGCTTGTATTTCCTTATAGGCTGGTAAGATTGTGTCAGACTGTTTCTTAGAATATTCAAGGATGTACTTTCTTTAGAAATAATTTTCACGTGTTTGTAACTAGCTATGCTAAGGGTCAGGAATTTTCTGTTAGACCTAAGCCCATATATTTCTTTTCGAGGAACTGCATGCTTAAGGGCATTCAGTAACCCAGTGGCTCAGCTGAAATTTGAACCCCAAACTTCTCTTCTTGTTAAGGTTAAACAGTGAAAAGGCCCTTGTAAGCTTCCTACTTCTGATGATTACACTGGCATTAAAACAAACCTAGCAAGTTGTTCATCTTAAATTGCTGGACTGGATGGCCCTTGTGGTCTCTTCCAACTCTATGATTCTATGCTAAAACAATCTAATTGTGTAATTTGTATTTTTTTCCTAATCTCCCCCTTTCTGTTATTATCACCTTAATAAAAAGAAAGTCATGCCAGTTTTGGAACTGGCCTAATGTGTAGGAGGCCGTGTCATTGTTCAACCACAGATACTTCTTCTAATTAAGCTTCTAGTTCTGCAACAGCACAGAACTTGGAAAGTACTGTATTTTCAGTTTCTATAAGACAAATGAAGTTTTAAGACATAAGGCTCAGCCAGCTAAAATCCTACATCAAACTCTTTAGTATCAACACAGAACACTCAGGCAAGGATTTTCCAAGGCTGCATGAGGCTAACATAAGCAAGTCCTCTATTCCCTTCTGAAATGCAAAGCACCCCTTGATGTTCAAAGAGGTGTGATACACAAGAACTCCTATTTCATTACAGTTGTCCCTCCAGATTCTTTCTTTAAAGACCCTCTTATGAAGAAATTCCTTAAAGGTTTCAACAATCTCTACCCTACATCTTCAGAACTGACTCTGGTATGACTCTGGACCTTGTGCTTTCACACTTCTCCACCAAGCCCTTTGAACCTATGGCCATGACAAACTTGAGACTGCTGTCCTGGAAAACAGCTTTCCTTGTGATTATCCCCATATGAGTGAGATTTGTGCCTTGCGTGTGGACCAACTTGACCTCCGCTTCCACAAGGATAAGGTGGTCCTCTGTCCTGACATTACCTTCCTTCCAAAAGTGGTGTCCTTGTCCTCAGAATACCACCTTTTAGATGGTTTCTGGGTCTTGGCGTCACTAGAAGACTTTTTGGTCTTGGAGTCATCTGAACTCTGGCCCAATCGGATTGGTCAGCCTTCTTAGGTATTTCCTTCTTGGAGGAAGTCTCCTTCGAAGCCTCCTTTTCCTTCTTCTTACCAGATGGGGTAGGAGAGGGATTCAAAGTCTGGGGTGTGGAGCAGAAGCAGGTTGGAAGGCCTGCTCATACAAGGCTGCTTTAAGCCTCACGTCCCGGTTCTTATAAGCCTGCAGGGTGATGGAACTGCAGAGGGCACAAGATTGAACATTGTGACCTCTTGCCAAGGCAAATGAGGCACATAGTGTGCGGGTCCTGCCCGGGGATCCCCCCCACATTTGTTGCGTCACTTGAAGGTGGTTGACTGGGTGGCCATTTTCAAAACGTTAGAATGTCTCTCAGTCTGTGAAGCGAAATCGAAGTCAGTCTGGGTCAATTGATTTGCATCTATCACCAAGTAAGATCCAAAAGAGTAGTCAAAGTGCAAAAAAGAAGTGAAAGCCAAAATGTAGAGGTCAATTCGAAGTAAAACAACAAGGAAAGAGCAATTCCAAATTAGCGAAGTTCCTTCTAAGCTGCTAGCGAGGCAGACGAAAAGAACTGAAGAAAGAGTGGGAATGCTAGGGGTTTTATAAGGGTGGGCAGAGCTACAACCAAAAAGCTGCAAGTGAAGTTTTCCCTAGCAATTCCAGAAGTTTCTGAGCTTTCTGTGCAGGTGCAGAATATACATTTACTCTGAAATGTTTCCCTGGAGCTTACCAGATATAAGTAAATGTATTCAGTATAGTAACAGTCAACTTACTTGAAGACAGCCAACCAGAGTAAAAGACAAATCTATTATTATACGATTGTACAAGGCTAATTAGGGAAACTCAGTTGAACTCAAGTTTGAATTTTATCATGCAATCTGTTATTTCTCAGATTCAAGGACTTTTATTGGGATCCAGATGACCTCCTTTACTGTAACCTCATGTTTTTCCACCATTACTTCTTCAGTATCTTCTTACACAATGAATTAGTTATGGAAGAAGAAATTGAATAGCTCCACAATGTATTTTGATAGGTAGTGCTAGGAGCCAATGAAACTTCATTCTAGGTATACATAAATAAGGTTGTCCTTTAGAGCTGAAAGTACCAAGTGAATGGTCACTTACAATTAATAATCTCAAAGAGGGTAGAAGTTGTATTACCATATGTTGGAGGGGAAATTTTGGAGGAAAAGTCTGGAACTCACAGCAAATTGTCAAAACAAGAAAGCAAAGTGCCTGTAAGAAAAAGGCACTGAGACAAACCAATTAAATCCAACCAAACATTATTTCAAAAAGTGAGTCAGACAATTGCAGGGTGGACCTGTGATTCATCACAGAAAAAAAACTTTGCATGAGATACATAAAAAGACTGGCGTCACTCTATAGAATCATAGTTGGAAGAGATCACAAGGGCCATCCAGTCCTGCCATGCAGGAAGACACAATCAAAGTACTCCTGACAGATGGCCATTCAGTGTCTCTTTAAAAAACCCCAAAGGAGGAGACTCCACTACTCCTGTTAAGTAGAAATCTTAACATGTAGGCACAGTTCCAGTAAAAAAAAAAAAATTTAAATTCAAAGCTACATATGCGTAACAGGGACATGATTAAATAATACTGTTAAATACAGATTCACAAAATGAATAGACTATAAAAAGGAATACTTACAGGAAAGGCTATGTAAGCAATGAACCCCAAAAAGGAATTTGCTGGGATGCAGGTGGGTAAGACTCCGTTTTAGAGCTCTAATATGCATTGATATACATATGGATTTGGCACAGCTCCCAAATAAAATGCCAGTTAAATTGCTAAGGAAATGGGAGTTCTAACTTCACAAACTGTATCAATAGATACAAGGCCTTCTGTAGTAACACATTTATTACAAGCTTCCTTTTGCTTACTCCTTTCTAAAAAAAACTTAAGATTCCCCCCTGCATGATTGCTCTAGAATTTGAATATAACTTTGACATTACATCATGTATGAATAGCTGGAGATAGCAAGAGATGGAACTATACTAAGAAGTACAATAAAAAAATTACATGAGGAAAAAAGCACAAGGGTATTTTATATCAAGTGACACCCAGCACCAGCAAGTGGAACACAAGTGGGGGCAAATGAACAAACATGTCTAGATTACATGATGGATTTCTCTACTAAGGCAGCAGATGCATCTGATGAAATACTAACAATTTACTTTTACAGGAGGAACATTCACTAAGATTCAATCCCTCTTTATATAATCAGTAACACACTCTAGTTAATGTGGACTTGTTGAAAAGGGAAAAGAGAAACACATGGTCAATAGGAAAATATGGGTTTCTATTTACAGCTAGTCGCTGATCGTCCTACCTAGTCCTCTTCCTCCCAAGCAGAGAGCCAGCATGGTGTAGCGGATTGAATGCTGGACTATGACTTAAGCGACTGAGTGACCTTGCACAAGTCACAATCTCTCAGCCTCAGAGGATGGCAAAGGCAAACCCTCTCCGAAGAAACTTGCCAAGAAAATCCTGTGATACGATCACTTTAGGGTTGCCATATGTCAGAAATGACTTGAAGGCAAACAATATAACCTCTTCCTCCCATTCCCATGCATTACAAGACATATAAAAGTCTTAGGTCCAAAACACACTGCAGAAATAATCCAGCCTGAGACCGCTTTAACTGCCCTGGCTCAATGCTAGGGAACCCTGGGAACTGTAGTTCATTGTGGCATCAGAGTTCTCTGATAGAGAAGACTAAATGTCTCACACAATTACAGTTCCCATAGTTCCCTAGCATTGAGCCAAAGCAGTTAAAGCAGTCTCAAACTGGATTATTTCTTCAGTGTGTTTTGGACCTTAGTTCTGTTATTTCTTGAGGGGGGAAATCCAAAAGTCAATATAGGGGAATAAAATTTTGCAGATTTTTTAAGATTAGTTCTTGTTAGCTGAAAATCACAGTCTAATCTGATTAAGCCTGCACAACACATCTTGCACTCCATTTTAAGACTGTTAGAGACTGCATTTTGAAACTTTTCTTCTCTTCCTTTTTGGGGGACAGAGTTCCTTAAGGTGGAGCAGGAGGAACAGCTTTGGAGAACAGGTAAGTCAGAGCCAGTGTGGCGTAGTGGTTTGAGTGCTAAACTAGGATTCTGGAGACCAGGGTTCGAATCCCCACTGTTTTTAAAAACAATGCAAATAGCCTAATTAAAACAGTAAAAAGTTAAAATTTAAAACATATAAAGGTAGTTTATTGTGGCACCAGAGCTCCCTGACAGAGAAGGCTCAATGTCTCAAAAAAATACAATCCCCATTATTCCCTAGCACTGAGCCAGGACAGTTAAAGTGACCTCAATTTGCACTATTTCTAGCAGTCTGCAAAGGCCCTATGCCCTCCTTTCTAGGACACCTCCTACATGTCAGCCTTTTGTCCAGGAAGAATTCCCAAATGTCTTCCATTTTGATCATGGCTAAACAGGAATTTACATTTCTATGAGTGTTTTCAGCTTTTATCTTGGAACAGGGTGACCAGACTTGGTCCTCCTTTTCAAGGACATACCCTCCATTTCAACCTTCAGTCTAGGAGAACACCCCAAATGTCTTCCATTTTTAGCATGAATTCACATTGAGAGAAGGTTAAAAGATGATATGATTGTTGTTTGTTAATTGCCTTTATATCGGTCTCAACCCATGGGGACCCTATAAATGAGACGTCTCCAGCCCCCCCTCCCGTCCTCTACTGCTCTGCTCAGCTCTTGCAAACTCATATTCATGGGGCCTTTGCAGACTGCCAGAAATAGTGAAAATTGAGTCCACTTTAAATTGAGGCACTGCCCTGGCTCAGTGCTAGGGAATCATGGGAATCGTAGTTTTTTCTAAGACAATGAGCCTTCTCTGTCAGAGAGCTCTGGTGCCACAATAAATTACAGTTCCCATAATTCCCTAGCACTGAGCCAGGGCAGTGCCTCAATTTAAAGTGGACTCAATATGCACTATTTCTGGCAGTCTGCAAAGGCCCGTTGGTCTCTCTAATAGAGTCCATCCATCTAGCAAGTGGCCTTGCTCTCTTTCTAATTCCCTCCACCTTTCCTAACATTATTGTCTTTTCTAACTATTCATGCCTTTTCATGATGTGTCTGAAGTATAACAGCCTCAGTTTGGTCATCTTGGCTTCCAGGGAGGTTTCTGGCTTGATCTGCTCTAGGACCCATTTGTTTGTCCCTTTGGCTCTCCATGGGATCCTCAGCACTCTTCTCCAGCACCACATTCTCTTAAATGCGTTTTCTCCTATCGTCTTTCTTGACAGCCCTGCTTAAATATTTGAAGGGGTGTCAATACTGAGGAGGGAGCAAGCTTGTTTGCTGCTGCTCCAGAGAACAGGACCCGGAACAATGAGTGCAAGCTACAGGAAAAGAGATTCCACCTCAACATTAGGAGGAACTTCCTGATAGTAAGAGCTGTTCAACAGTGGAATACTTTAGACCAGGGGTAGGCAACCTTTCCCCTTTAAGGGCCGAGGGACTTCAGCTCCCAGAATCCCAGGAGCTATTGGCCAACATGGGACTATTGGCCAACATGGCTGAGGCTTCTGGGAGCTGAAGTCCCTCGGCCCTTAAAGGGGAAAGGTTGCCTGCCCCTGCTTTAGAGAATGGTGGAGTCTCCTTCTTTGGAGGCCTTTAAATAGAGGCTGGGTGATGGGCCATCTGTCTCAGGGGGTGCACTGATTGTGAGTTCCTGCATGGCATAATGGAGGTTGGACTGGGTGGCCCTTTAGGTCTCTTCCAACTCAATGATTCTATGAGTGTATTCCACTTTTATTGTGTCACGTCCTCCATTTTCCCGGAAGGTCCTCCATTTTGTGGCACCTCGTCCTCTTTGGCGGTGAGGACACCCGGTCGCCTGGGAGTCCCTGTCACTCCTTGTGCCTCAGCCTTCCTCCCCCGCTGCTGCTGCTGCTGCTCCTCTTCGTGACTCGCCACTCCGCCCACTTGCCTCCCCTTGGGCCCTCACTGGGCAAAAGACGGATAAACCTTCCCTTTACCCTCCTTTTCCCCCCTCCGCAGTCTTGTGACGGGGGCCTGTGTGGCCCTCAGCCCCTCCACGCGCACAAACACGCATGAAGACCCACTCCGTCACGTCTGAACGTGTTCGCGCGGGTTCTCCGAGGTCACTACGTCCCTCCGGGCGAACCACTGCCTCCCCTCGCGTCCTATCCCTGGTGAAAAGCGTCCCTCACGAACACAACCGCTCTCTCCTTTCCCACCCGGGCAACTGGAAGCCGTCACCTACCTTCCCTCAGACGCCGCTCTTCCCTTCTCCCGTCAGCGCCTCGTCTAAGGCAAGCGCATGCGCAATGCCGAAACGCTGCCTCCCGGGAGGACAAAATGGCGGAACGCAAAGCATCACGGGAAGCGTAGTCCCCAAAGCCTTCTGAGGCTATACAGTGGTCCTTTTGCCCTGGTGGCGCAGTGGTTAAGTGCCTGTATTGCAGCCACCTGTTCACAGACCACAAGGTTATAAGTTCAATACCAGCTAAGGGCTCAGGATGGACTCAGCCTGGCATCCTTCTAAGGTGGCTAAAATGAGTACCCAGCTTGTTGGGGGCAATTAGCTTACATTACACATTGTAAACTGCTTTGGGAGTCAAACACCTACCTTTTGGCAGAAAGGACTGCGGCCTTCATCTGTTTGCCTTTAAAATGCTTTAAGAGATGGTGGGAGTGGGGTGAAGCTCAGTGGGAGGAGAAAGTAGAGGCTTCAGAATTTTTGAAATTTTAATTTTTGAAATTTTGAAATTTTAAACAAATTAAAAATTTTTGAAATTTTAATTTTTAAAAATTATTTTTAAAATTTCTTTAAAAACATCACATTTTAACCAAATCTTCATTATGTATATGTAAATACATTTATGTTGTGCATACGATATTGTAATTTGAAGGTATACTTTTAATTTTGCTAGTTATTTGTCACAAGTACAGTGGGACCTTGATATCTGCTGGGCTTTGGTTCCAGGACCCCCTTGGATAACAAAATCTGTGGATGCTCAAGTCCCATCAAACAGAATGGCATAGCAAAATGGTGTCCCTTATATAAAATGGCAAAATCAATGTATGCTATTTGGAATTTATAGGGTTTTTTAAAGATTTTCAAGCTGTAGATGATTGAATCCGTGGATAAGAAAGGGCCTACTGTATTATCATTACATTCAGTGGTATATGGGAATATTACAATTTACCAGTAACATAAGTGCAAAAAAGCATTACTAAGGATTCTGTATGGTGTGAAATAGGAAGAGGTCAATGGGGAGGGGTGACACCATGAGTGACCGCAACGGGTGAACCAACCCTAGGGATGCCTTGCTGGCAGGGCCTCCAGCCAGCAAGATTCCAAGAAATAAGTTTTACTGGCCTCCATTCTGGAATTAATGTGAGCTGTAAGAGTGTGTAAGAAGACGACCTTGGGCAAGTCACACATTCTCAGCCTCAGGAGAAGTCACCTGCAAATCTCCTCTGAACAAATCTTGCCAAAATATGGCAGCCAGATTGGTCATTGGGAGATCTAGGGGCAACCATATAACACAGGGATAGGCAACCTTTTTCAGCTGGGGGCTGGGTTGCTGTCTGTCAGAAAATTGGGGGGCCGAAGCACCAAAAATAAATAAATAAACAAATAAATAAATAGTAATTTTTTAAAAATAATTTTAAAAAAAACATGCATGCACACTCTCTCAGCCTCAGAAAAGCCATGGCAAAGCCCCTGTGTAGATTTTGCCAAGAAAACCCCAAGAACAAGTAATAACAACAATAATCAATATCATCATGGCGGGCGGCGGCGGGCGGCAGGACAGGCCTGGGGCCGGTCCAAAGGCCTCGAGGGGCCGCATTTGGCCCCCGGGCCTTAGGTTGCCTTCATTTATTAGTCCCTTCACTGGCTGCCTATTAGCTTCCAGGCACAGTACAAGGTGCTGGTTATAACCTTTAAAGCCCTTCATGGCTTGGGCCCAGTTTACAGTAAAACATCATATCCCATAAACCCTCCCATCCACAATAATCCACATACAATCCACACCACACACTGAGGTCCTCTGGTAAAAAGAGGACCTTTTCTTCTGCCATTCCCAAGTTATGGAACAGCCTGCTGGAGGAGATTCGACATATTCTAGTCTTGACTGCTTTTAAAAAGGCCGTTGAGACGTATCTCTTCTGGCAGGCCTTCGCAGACTAGCCTCTCAGTCACCTCCCATCGATTGCCTCTTAATTGCCCCTGCTTTGTTTTAATAATTAAAATGTACTTTTTATTGTAGATGGGAGGGTTTATGGCAGGGGTAGGCAACCTTTTTGAGCCGGGGGCCAGGTTGCTGTCCCTCAGACAATTGACGGGCCAAAGCACCAAAAATAAATAAATAAATAAATAAATAAAAATTAAAATTAAAAAAGAATTAAAAAATTAAAAAAAATGCATGCACACTCTCTCAGCCCCAGAAAAGCCATGGCAAAACCCCTGTGAAGATTTTGCCAAGAAAACCCCAAGAACAAGTAATAACAACAATAATCAATATCATCATGGGGGGGGCGGCGGTGGTGGGGGGGGCGGCGGCGGCAGGACCGGTTTGGGGCCGGTCCAAAGGCCTTGCTGGGCCGCATCCGGCCCCCGGGCCTTAGGTTGCCTACCCCTGGTTTATGGGATATGATGTTTTAATGTATTTTAATGTTGTTTTATTATTGTTTGCTGCTTCGATCTGTTTGGAGAGGCGGGATATAAATATTTATTATTATTATTATTATTATTATTATTAAATCCACAAAAGTCAAAGGCACAAATGTGTAGTTTCCTCAGCAGCAACAGTGTCAATAACCTCAGCCACTCTATCATTGATTCAGGAGAGAGGGTAAAAAGTTTAACAAGTTAATAAATATACAAGAGAGGGAAGAAAAAACAAATGCCCAGTGGCTTGCCTTGCAGACAGTAGCCATCTGCTCTCACCAGAGACAATCTTGAGCTCTTTCGTGCAATGTTGTTTGTGAGGCTCACAAGCAATTAAGAAGATGTTGTGTAATTAGGTCTATAGACAATACATAAAACAATAATGTGCTAAAACAGTAAAATAAAACAAATCAGCAGTTAATCCAACTACAGAGCTCTGAGCCAAGTTACCTCCTCTGATGCCACTTTCAACTCAATAT